GACGAAGCTCTGCCCGATTTTCTCGGAGCAGATCTGATTGCCCGGTGGTCCACGGATATCAACGTCCCCGTCACAGGCCAAAGACCCACGCAAGCAAGAGATGATAAACAGATCTTGCGTTTGTTTGAAAGGAGTTGTATTTCTTTTGTTTTCATTGTGCAAGGGTCTTATAAAAAGGCTATCTTTTTGTTTCATTGTAACGATTGAAGTTGTAATGAATGCAGCAATGAATACAGCAACTTTTTCCGCAAACAAGCTGGCGACCACAGAGTATATGAGCCTTGGCCTTCTCCAACAACTCATTAATGGCGGAAGGGGTCAACACGTCTAATTCACGAATGGACGCACTGGAATCACCCTCCAAGTTCTGGAACAAGTAGCTGGCAAACTGCTTCAAGCTGACCTGCCTCTTCCTCTTCGCTTGAGGAGAAGTCTGAACCAAGGAGGTGTGATAATGACAGGTAAGATCCCAGAGAGTGTCGTACATGTCGGGAGTATCTTTCTTCATACACTCCAACTGCTGGTTCGAGGGAAAATACTCCTGATACGGGCAATCCCCCATCGGAAGACCAGAAACATGATGCATCTCATGCAAGGCCAACCCTAACTCACCACCACTGGTCAGAAAGGTGTTGCTGTCAGGCATGTAGGTCTCCAGCAAAGCCAAGAAATGGCGACAGCTGACTGGGATTCCGTGCATGGTGGCTCGTATAGGTGCATACAACCCACTGCTCTTCAGTTCCCTCTCCCAACGCGCTAAGACAAAACTGGTCATGCGTGCCCACCACCCCTTGGCTAGTGAGGAAGCCCAACCATAGCATCTGTATTCTGGTATAGGTAACCGTCTCCCCAGAAGAGCTAGACGATTACTCACGGTGGGAGCAGCTGCTGACACCTCGCCTGGGGGTGCAGTGTCAAGGCCCATAATCCCGGGTTGAAGACCGCGAACGTCATGATACCCGTTAGAGCCGGGGGTCTTATGGTGAGTGGCATATCCACACTGAACCCGCTCAGCATCTTCAGTAAGATGCCAAGACATCTGTCGCTCCACGGCCTGCCCCTTCAAGTGACTGAAAGAATATTGGCGTGGAATCGAGGGGATGTACAAACAAGCTCCCCCGTCAAGAGTCAGCCAGTGCTCCTTGCCAAGGGTCAGCGCAGCAGGATCCTCGACATGATCCCCGAACAAGAAGCTCGGCTTGACATCTGTCGTTCCACGGCTTGCCCCTTCAAGTGACTGAAAGAATATTGGCGTGGAATGGAGGGAATGTACAAACAAGCTCCCTCGTCGAGAGTCAGCCAGTGCTCCTCGCCAAGGGTCAACGTAGCAGGATCCTCGACATGGTCTCCAAACAGGAAGCTCGGCTTCTTTAAAGCCTGAGTGGAGGTAGAATCCGCGGTAAAGGAGGCATCTGTAATAAGCTGGCACAAGCAATGGCGCCCTCCTTCCCGTATCAATCGGCAAGAGTCGTCTGATCGATCTCTGTCAAACCGAGGAAGTGGACTAACGGCCTGCCTAAGGGAAGCTGAAGAGAAGACCTCCCGGCTACAACCGGTATTGGCATGAGGAGGAAGGCTGCCCGCAGGAAACTCCACTGCAATAAAGCACAAGGGTGGAGTCAGAAAATTCATAAAAGAATGATAAGTTCATTCACGGAATAATTGGAGAGACGATTTTGAGTGTCCTACACTGGAAGAACGGTATGCATCATCACGTGAATAACGTGGTAACATACACCGACCTATAAGGTGTAGGACGACACAAAATCGCCCCAATATACCAGAAGACTTGAATTGGCTAAGGAAAACAAGTCTGAAACCTTAACCCCCGCGAAGGAGGGTGTCGGTTCTTCCTTCATGACCCGCAAAGAGGTCAATCAGGGGTACAAGAAAGGATTTATATAAATTCTCACCCCCGAAGAACGAGGCCACGGGGGAAGACGTCGAGGGAACCTCTTCCTCACTATGCTGTGAATGAGAACGACTCCTACGAGGTCGAGATCGGCGTGGAGACATTGAAATCTACAACGAAAAGCAGCAAGTGCTGCGAATGAGAACGGCTCCTTCGAGGTCGGGATCGGCGCGGAGACATTGAAAATCTGCAACAAAAAGCAGCAAGTCAGGTACAATCTAAAATATGAATACACGAAATTTAAAAGGGAAACTAAGAACTTTAATTAAAATCCTATACATAAATAGGATTTCATAATTGAAGTCTAGTTAAACCTACAAATTTCGTGCATGCAAAACAATGATTGTCATCTTTCACGGTAAATTTTGGTGAAATACCCAAAATACCCTTCGTGTTCAAGGCCAAAATTCAGGTCAAGGACACGCCCGGGTTGGGTCATGGTCATCATATCTGATCATATAGCACCCCCCGGTACCCCACAATTTTGGTTAATTTTACAAATGAGCCCTTTTGTAGAATTGAGCCAATTTTGCATATAGACCCCTTCACAAATTCCAATTTAATGTCCACATACCCTTATCAAAACTTTGGTTATCGGATTGTGATCTAAACTTTTGGAATTTCAGCCCTAAATTTGAGCCCTTTTGCAAATAAACCCCTCTACACTTTGTGGGTTGCTTTTTGCAAATAAACCCCTCAAACAACATTGGTCTTCTTGCATAAAGCACCCCTCAAACTTTCGACCAAGTGGATATGCAATCCAAGACCAAATCTCAGTCCAATTTGGCATAAAAACCCCACGAAAATTTTGGCCATGTTGCAATTTTGCATAAAAGCCCCTCAAAAATTTCGGCCCTATTTGCCTCTTTTGCACAAAACACCCAAATTTGGGTCCATACACACAACCCATTGTCTACTACCAACACAAAGATTCAATCTTTATCAAAAAGGGAGAGTGCTTGAGGAGTAACTTACCCAAATCAAGAGGCTTGAGAACCCCAACTCCAAGGGCCAAGACTTGAGCTTGAAGGTGGAGGAAGAAACCCTAGTTGGAGGAGAAAGCTTTCGGCCAATGGAGAACACCCAAAATCCGAATTTTTTTTGTGTGGGTTTGGAGCCCTTGAAAGAGAGAAACAATGGTGGAAGGGTGGAAGGAGGAAGAAGATGAATTCTCTTTTGAAAAGAGAGAGGGAAAACAAAAGGGGAAACAAATTCAAACAAGAAAGAAAACAAAAGAGGGGGAAACAAAATGAAGAAAAAGACAAAACCAAGGGGGGACCACGGCTTTGCCAAAGACACCCCAAGGGGTTTCTCGGCAAAACCGAGACACCCCAAGGGTGTCTCGGTGTTGTGGAGACACCCCCCGGGTTATCTCAACCTAATTTTTACC